CCATTGCGGCTGCAGCAGCAGCAGCCGCAATGGCTGCAACGGCAGCGAGTCGGGTGTATTTAATCCTGAAGCGGAATTATCCCTCATTTTGTTTAATCTGCGCTCGTTGTGTTGCTGCTGCTGCAGCAGGCATCAGCAGCATAGTTGTTGCGTGCTTTGCTGCTGCAGCAGGCACCAGCAGCATAGTAGTTGCGTGCTTTGCTGCTGCAGCAGTAGGTAGCAGCAGCAGTACGCGATAGTTATTGCCGCGCTATTCGCTGCTGTTGCAGTAGGCAGCAGCAGCAGCAGCAGCAGCAGCTGGTAGTTTTTGCAATGTTTGCTGCTGCAGCAGTAGGCAGGAGCAGGAGCAGCAGCAGTTTGTAGTTCTTTGCTGCTGCTGCTCTTGGCTCTGCTGAAGTTATCTTGTTGAAGTGGTCTCTAATGAAGAATACCGTTAGGGTTTAGGGTTTGGGGATTAGGGTTTAGGGCCTATACTTTAGGTTTTAGGGTTTGGGGTTTAGGGCTTGAGGTTTAGGGTTTAGGGTTTGGGGGGTTTGGGGTTTAGGGTTCAGGGCTTGGGGTCTAGGGTTTAGGCTATACGGTTTAGGGTTTAGTGATTAAGGGTTTAGGGTTTAGCAGGCATAGGGGTTGCTACTAGACTGGGGACATGGTCTGAGGCTGCTTTGTTGCCGCTGCTGTTGCCGTTGCTGCTGCTGGTGCTGCTGCTGCTGCTGCAACAGTTGCTGCTGGTGCTGCAGCTGGTGCTGGTATTTGCTGCTGCACTTGACGGTAACTAACTGATTCCGCAAACAGCTGTGGCAGCAAACCCTAAACCCTAAACCCTAGACTTCGTGTATGAGCGCACAACATGCGTCTTTGCTGCTGCAAGATTTATTCCTGCACCCCACTGCAGCAGCAGCAGCAACAACAGCAGCAGCAACAACAGCAGCAGCAGCACATTGCACTTCCGATGAAGAACTTGCGGTGGGATGTAACTGCCCCCGTCCCGTCCGCGTTGGCCTAGGGTTTAGGGTTTAGGGTTTTAGGGTTTAGGGTTTGAGCTGGGGTTGAGGGTTTGGGGTTAAGAGAAGACATAGGAGGAGACTGTAGAACAATCAGCTGAGGGCCCTACAAGCCGTGTAGATTTTGAGTTAAAGGTGCTGTGGTTTGGCTAGGGTTTAGGGTTTAGGGTTTATAGTTGTGGCTTGAGGGTTTAGGGTTTAGGGTTTAGGGTTTGCAGGCATTGGCACCCCCCGTCCACGTAATGAAAACCTGTAGCAAATATGCAGTTCTTTTATATAGTGACCTATTTTACGGGCTTGAGCTGCTGCTGCTGCTGCTGCCGCTGCTGCTGCTGCTGCTGCTGCTGCTGCTGCTGCTGCTGCACGGCGCAGCAGCTGCACGAGCTGCAGCAATCAGCAGATAGGTTGAGACGGTGTTGCAGGTTTTTTTACTTCTGAAGTTATAAATAAACCATGGGTGTTGTTTTTGATAAACCCAGCAGCAGCAGCAACAACAGCAGCAACAGCAGCAGCAGCAGCAGCAGCAGCAGCTGCAGGCAGCAGATGGGGCCCCTCTGTTGCCTTGTATTACCCGGCTCCTATCTTCTTCTGTCTCTCAGCAGCGAGACAGCAAAACAACCATATAATCAGCGGAAAACCCTAATATATCGACCGTCTGGGGTGTACCCTTAGGGTTTAGGGTTTACGGTTTAGGGTTTAGGGTTTAGGGTTTCAGGCAGCGGCCCTGACCAGCGGCAGTGGAGGGAGAGTCAGGCCCGAATCTTCTTCCGTTCGTTGTTTCTCTGGGGTTTAGGGTTTAGGGTTTAGGGTTTAGGGTTTAGCCTTGCAGCAGCAATTTCGCAGCAGCAAAAGTGAGTCTAGGGTTTAGGGTTTAGGGTTTAGGATTTAGGGTTGCCGGCAGCTTTGTATGAACGGGGGCTTACGACGGAGTGGCGAGGATGTTACAGCAACAGCTGCAGCAGCAGCACCTGCAGCTGCAGCGGCAGCAGCTGCAGCAGCAGCAGCTGCAGCAGCAGCAGCAGCAGCTGCAGCAGCAACAGCAGCTTCGTCCTGTGGATTCTCAGAGACAGGAGGCGCTGCTCTTCTCCGTGCAGCAGAGCGGCGACGGGCACTTCGTCACCCGATCCATCGTATGCTGCTGCTGCTGCTGCTGCTGCTGCTGCTGCGGTCCTTGCTGCTGCAGTTGCTGCTGCTGCTGTTGCATTGTTGCTACTGTTGCTGCAGTTGCTGGAGGAGTTGCTGCTGCTGCAGTGGATTCTGCTGCTGGCTCTGTTGTTGCTGCTGCTGCTGAATTTGCTTCCGGTGTAGCTACCTTCAACAGCAGCACCTCGCGCAGCTCTGCGCCTGCCATTCCCTCTGCCTCTCGGGGTTTAGGGTTTAGGGTTTAGGGTTTAGGGTTTGTTGTTTTCAGAGTATGAATAGCTGCAACGTCTCCTATCTACACAGCACGACGGCTCTCTCTCAATTACCCCCCGTCTGTCCTGCATCCGCAGCAGCAGCAACAGCAGCTCCAACAGCAGCAGCAGCAGCATCGGCCCCAGCAGCAGCACCCGCAGCAGCACCAGGAGCAGCAGCAGCAGCAGCAGAACCGCACCACGGGTTTGGAGCTCTGCTGCCTTCTTTTTTGCCTCGTCTTTCTTCGTCTGTCTCCTCTCTCTTCTTCCCTGTCGTGTCTCCTCCATTACCCCCAGCAGCAGCAGCAGCAGCAGCAGCAGCAGCAGCAGCACCAGAGACACCAGTAGAGGCGCATCTGGCGGCGAAGGGCCGCAGCAGCACTCACCTGATTTTGCTGATGCATTCGGACGTGAGCAGCAGCAGCAGCAGCAGCAGCGAAGCATCAGCAGCAGCAGCAGCAGATCCTGTTGATGTGTCTTTGCAGCAGTATTTGCTTTGTAAACTAAGGGGGCATCCTGTATTGGATGCTGTACCTCTTGGGGGTTTAGGGTTTGATGGATTGCAGCAAGATGAGGGTTTAGGGTTTAGGGGTTTAGTGGTTTGGGGGGACCCTCAGCGGCTGCTGCTGCTGCTAGAGGAGGCAGGAGGCACGAAGAAATCTGTTAGTAATAAATACTCTGCTTTCAGAGTCCGATGCAGCGAGTTCTTTCTTGGCAGGTACGTTTAATCAAGGGTTTAGGGTTTAGGGTTTAGGGTTTAGGGTTTAGAGTTGAGGGATTTGCGCGGACTAGGGTTTAGGGTTTAGGCTTTATTTAACGTTTATTTGGGTTTAGGGTAGAGGGTTTACGGTTTAGCGCTTTTTAGGGTTTAGGGTTACGGGCTTAGGGTTTGGGGTTTTGCGCTTATTAGGGTTTAGGGTTTAGGGTTTAGGGTTTAGGGTTTAGGGTTTAGGGTTTGGGGTGTATGCACAGCGAGGACCCGAAGACCTTCCTGACTCCCCATGAGGAGGCAGAGCTGCTGATTGGCGAATTGTTAGCCATGCGCTTTGGGGTTGATGCTCCCTTTCAGTCGTTGCAGGTGCGGTTTAGGGTTTAGGGTTTAGGGTTTAGGGTTTGGGGTTTAGGGTTTGGGTTGAGCATTGGCTGGCTAAATATTCATGCCAGTAACCAACCCTGGATATTTGTTGCGTCTCTGACGAAGTGGAATCAGGATTTAGGGTTTAGGGTTTAGGGTTTAGGGTTTAGGGTTTAGGGTTTGGCTGTTTGCAGGGTTTGGGGGTTCTGGATGTTTGTCTTGCCACTGGGATCGTAAAAGATATTTTCCCGCTGCACCTGCCGGAGGCGCGGCTGTCTATACAGCTGAAGCTGCAGCAGCTGCAGCAGCAGCAGCACAAGCAGCACAAGCAGCAGAAGCAGACGAAGCAGCAGCAAGAGCAGCAGGAGCTGCAGCTGGCTAACCCTTCAGCTTCGCTGGAATCGATGCTAGTAAGCGATAACCAACGAGTTTGGGGGACGGACTAGCGATAGGGTTTAGGGTTTAGGGTTTAGGGTTTAGGGCTTTCAGGGTGTAGGGCGTGATGCGCAGTGTTTAGGGTTTAGGGTCTTGGGCTCAGGAGTTTGGATCTAGGGTGTAGAGGGCATACTCTAGGGTTTAGGGTTTAGGGTTTAGGGTTTGTGTGTCTGTTTGCATGCAGTCTGCCTACTGCGGCTTCCCTACTGTTTCGCTGTTTCTGCTGCTGCGAGGTTTGTGGCGTTGGTGCTCTTCTTTGCTGCTGGTGGAGCTGCTGCTGCTGCTGCTGCTGCAGTTTGTGTACAACAACGGGGCTGGGGAGACTGCAGCAGCAGCAGCAACAACAGGTCCCCCTACTACTATGGCAGCAGCAGCAGCAGCCGCAGCAGCAGCAGCAGCAAGGCCCTTCTCGTGGGGTGTATCGACAGCTCCTCTTGCGATGCTGCTATCCAGCAGTGTCTCTAAAGCAGCAGCAGCACTTTTAATTGCTCTAGCTACTCCGATCTTTTTAGTTTCACTGCAAAAGAAGGTACGCTAGGGTTTAGGGTTTAGGGTTTAGGGTTTGGGGTTGGCGGCTCACAGCAATGGCTGGGTGCAGCAGCACCAGCAGCAGCTACAGCATCCGCAGCAACCAGTAGCAGCAGCAGCAGCATCGGCAGCAGCAACAGCATCATTCCCAGTAGCAGCAGTAGCACTAGCAGCAGCAGCAGCAACATCCACAGCAGCAGCAGCACCATTCCGTGTGGCAGTAGCATTTGCACTAGCAGCAGCAGCATGGGCAGCATCATTTTCAGCAGCAGCAGTATAGGCAGCATGAGCAACAGCAGCAGCAGCGGCAGGAGTATGCATGTGCTGCTTGTGTTTTGCTGCTGCAGCTGCCTGCATGCCGCTATGCATTAGGTTTAGAGTCGATGTCTCGCTTAGGGTTTTTCAGAGGGAGTTTATATGGGTGTGGGGCCCTCTCAGAGAAGCCGCTGCAGCCTTTGCTGCTGCTGCAGCGACGCTTGAGGTTAGAGCTGCTGTTCGGTGCTTCTCCTGGCGAAAGTCTTTCATTTAGCTGCCACCCAAGGTTCCGAGGCTTCTTCCTCCCCTTCTTCTCGGGTGCTGCACCGCTGCTGCAGCAGCAGCAAAGCGTTGCTGCAGCAGCAGCAGCAGCTGCTGCTGCTGCTGCTGCGGGCCGCGGAATCGGCACCGTCACTGCAGCGAGAACGTCACTCCTTAACTCGCTGCAGCAACAGCAGCAGCAGCAACAACATGCTGCTGTAGCTGCTGCGGCACAGGCAGCACAGGGATTCAGCTTGTGGAGAGGTTGCTGCACCATTGCTGCAGGAGCACAGCTGCTGCTGTTGCTTCTGCTGCTGCTGCTGCACTCTGAAATCCTATGCCGTGCAGCAGCGCCGGGCGAGTGGAGTGTGGGGCTGTCTTCGTTCGGTGCAGGAGCAACACGGGCAGCAGCAGCAGCAGCTGCTGCTGCAGCAGCAGCAGCAGATGCAGGAGCTGCTGCTGCTGACCCTCTTTGGGGCCTCGCCGGGGTCGCGGTGCAGCGGCTGCAGAACAGCAGCAATGCAGGGGAGTTGCTGCTGCTGCTGATGCTGATGTTGCTGCCTGCGCTGCTGCGTCTAGCAGCAAAACCCTTGAGGGTTTGGGGGGCCCTTCGTGCTGCTGCTGTCTTTATAACTGATTCATCCACCATAGTAAAGGAGGCCGACCTTGTCTCCGCCTCTGCAGACACACCCACTGGTAGGGTTTAGTGCTTAGGGTTTAGGGTTTAGGGTTTTGGGGTTACTGTTCAGGGGTGAGGGTTTAAGGTTGAGGGTTTAGGGCTTAGGGTTTAGGGTTTTGGGCATTGGATGTGCGCTGTACGGGATCGAACGCAGGGTTTAGGGTTTAGGGTTTAGGGTTTAGGGTTTTTGTTGTGCGTTCAGCTGGGGCTTACTTCGCATGCAGCCAGCAGCTGTTTCTGCTGCTGGCTACCCTTGGGGGTTCCTTTGCTGTTGCAGCTCCTGCAGCAGCAGCATCAGCAGCAGCAGCAGCACTTGGAGCAGCCTGCCCCTTCTCAGCCTTCTTCGCTTTGCAGCTGCTGCTGTTCTTTGCTGCTGAGCTGCTGCGGCTGCTCTTTGCTTCCCGTATCCCTCCTGCTGCAGCTGGTGCTACAACAGCTGCTGCAGCTGCTGCTGCAGCTGGAGGTGCAGCAGCAACCATCGGCAGCAGCGACAGCAGCAGCACCGCCAGAGACAGCGAGGAGGCCACAGCAGCAGCAGCAGCAGCAGCAGCAGCAGCAGAAGCGCAGCTGCCGCCATTCCGTTTAGAATATTTCTTTGTGCCGTTTTGTCTCGAGCTGTGTTTGCTGCCTCTTGCTGCAGCACATCGTGTGCTGCTGCCATGTTTGCTGCTGCTGCTGCTCTCCCTCCCGCTGCGGCTGCGAGAAGCTTGTTTGCTGCTGCTGCAGTGCCGCCGCAGCAGCAGCTGCTGCTTGGGAGAGCTACCTCAAAGCCTAGATAGCTGGCTGCCTTATATAGGATCAGTAGGGGTTTGCTGCAGCCTGGGGGTTGCTGTGGGGTTCGTGCGCTCGCTGCTGCTGCTGCTGCAGCAACAGCTGCTGCTGAGACCCGATCAGCAGCAGCTGCTGCTGCAGCGAGAGCCGCTGCTGCCTTTCCTTTCTTCAACCTCCCTTCTTACTATCTTCGCCGCGGCCACCTGCTTGCTGCTGCTCGTGCTGCAGTCCTTTGGAGACAAACACCAAGACGATTGCGTAAGTGGTAGCAGCAGCAGCAGTAGCAGCAGCAGCAGCAGAGCAGGAGCAGCAGTAGCAGGATAGCAGAAGCAATAGCAGCAGTCGCTGCTGCAGTAGCAGCAGCTGCTGCTGCAGTAACAACAGCGACGCCAGGGCAGGCATCGCAGCAGGTGCTGCTTCCATCTGGCAGCAGCAGCAACTGCTGCAGCAACAACTGCTGCAGCAGCAACGTGATGCTGTGCTGCTGCTGCGTTTACAGCTGCAGGCCGTGCACGAAATTGCGGAGAGAGAAGTCAGCGCCTTTGAATTCAACTTCGACATCCTGCAGGTGCTTTGCTGATGCTGTTGCTGCTGCTGCTGTTGCTGCTGGTGCTGTTGGTGCTGCTGCTTTTGCTGCTGCTGCTGTTAGTGCTGCTGCTGTTGCTGCCGCGGATGTTGTTCCTGCCTCGCTTGTCTCTGCTGCTGTGTTTATGCTGCTGTTAATGCTGCTGCTATTGGTATTGCTATTGCTATTGCTGCTGCTACTGTTGCTGCTGCTGCTGCTGCTGCTGCTGCTGCTGCTGCTGTGGCTGCTGTTGATGTGGCGGATTATTTCTACTGGGGTTTGTTTACCTCGCGACGCCACCGTTGGGTTGTAAGGTGATGATATTCTTGCTGCTGCTGCTGCTCTAGAATGCTTGTTGGTTAATAGGGTTTAGGGTTTAGGGTTTAGGGTTTAGGGTTTGTGTTGGATCTCAGGCTTCTGCGCCCCCTCGCGTGGTTGCTGCTCCTTCTTCGACTGAAGGGGGGCCTTGGTTGGTGCTGTGGCTGTCGCGTTGTCTTTCTCCTTTGCTGCAGCTGCAGCAGCAGCTGTTGTTGCTGCTGCAGGTGCCGCAGCAGCAACAGCGATGGTGGAAGCGTTGGGAGCTGCTGCAGCAGCTGCTGCTGCCTCCGCTGCTGCCCATTGAGGGGGCCCCCTCTGATTTGCCGCTGCTGCATGGGGGGGTTATACGTCTTGATGCTTCTATTTTAAAGCTGCAGCTGCGGTGTACAGACAGCTCCGACGGAGCAGCAGATTCGCTCAGCCCCAGGAGGCTGGTGAGGGGTTTAGGGTTTATGGTTTAGGGTTTAGGGTTGCACCTACGGATCAGACAGAAGCTGCGTGTATTGCTTCTTCATGAGGTTTAGGGTTTAGAGTTCAGAGGTCCTGCTTTCGGTACTACGGTTTAGGGTCTTAGGGTCTTAGGGTTTAGGGTTTAGGGTTTAGGGTTTTGGGGTATGCAGGACGTTGCTCTGGAGCAGTACATTGACGACGTGCTAAAGAGAGAGGGTCCTCGGGGTTTGATGTTGGCTGGGGCGGTGCCTCCCCCCACTGAAACCCTGCCGAAAACCATCGATCGCAGGGTTAGTCTAGGGTTTAGGGTTTAGGGTTTAGGGTTTAGAGCGTATTAGGGTTTGTGGCGAGTTAGGGTTTACGATTTTAGGGTTTTTGTGCATTATAAGTGTTTTTAATGATTTCGGGTTCTTGGCGGTTTAGACTTTCGACTTCAGCCTTCATACTTGAAACCATTAGGGTTTAGGGTTTAGGGTTTAGGGTTTAGGGTTTAGGGTTTGTGGTTTGTATGAAGGTGATAAATAGATTTCTAGGGGAGTGGGACTTCGATCGCAGCCGAAGCACCAGCATGACTCCTATAGCAGAGCAGCTGGGGGTGCCGTGGCTTATCCGAAATGCAGTTGAAAAACTAAACCCTAAAATAGAGTATAAACTGCATGATAGAGACGGTCAACCCGAGTTCTCAATCAAAACCAAACTCACCGCTGGAATCTCCAAGGTTAGCGTTGAGGGTTTAGGGTTTAGGGTTTAGGGTTTGGGGTTTAAGGTTTCTGGTTTGGGGTTTAAGGTTTCTGGTTTGGGGTTTGGGGTTTGGGGTTTGGGGTTTGGGGTTTGGGGTTTAGGGTTTAGGGTTTAGGGTTTAGGGTTTAGGGTTTAGGGTTTTGGGATTGTATATTACGTGTGTGTATGTATGTGTGTGTGTTTGATGCCCTGTACCTTATAAATTGTGCAATGATACGGTGTTTAATATTTAGGGTTTAGGGTTTAGGGTTTAGGGTTTGAAATGGTTGGTCTTTGGGGTGTACAGACAGTGCGTTTAAACCTAAGTGGGGCTGACGTAGAGGCTGAAGACGAAGATGTAGGGGCTTGGCGAAGTATAACAAAAGTAGAGGGTGCAGTTTTAAAGACTGTACAAAAAAATGAAGCACAAAAAGCTACGCTCTTCGAAACCAGAGAAATTAAACCCGATGGACAAGTAATTTATTATGCACTCCCTTCTGCATGCATGCATGCATGCATGCATTCATATTTGCATGCATGCATGCATGCATGCATGCATAAGCATCTAGAGATTTGTATGCATGCATCCGCGTTGATATGCATAAACCCTATACATATATATATATATATATGTATATGCATATATTTATTTATACAAATACAAATGCTATAATATAATAAAAACAATAATATATATTGTCCATATATGTATATAAGTATATATATATATATATAATATATTTACTAGTTATATATATAATTATGTATGTTTATTTGAATTCATTTGTTTGTATTTGCTGTTAAGTTTAATTTGTTTGTTCTTCTTCAGGGGATGGAGACAGATGCTCTCTGGTATAGAGTCACGTTAAAGAAAGACGGCTTGCAAAATGAGGTGTCTGCTGTCAGGGTTTTTAAAAGAATATCGGGGCCGCCTCCAGGGCTTTGTGTAGGTGTTGCTGCTGTTGTTGCTGCTGCTGCTGCTGCTGCTGATGTTGCTGCTGCTGCTGCTGTTTTGTTTGTTTTGTTTTGTTTCGTTTGATTTGTTTGTCTGTTTTTACTCGTTGGGTTGTTCACTGCTGATGTTTTTTTTGTTTATTGTTTTTGTTTGCTGTTGCTGCTTTATTGCTTGCTGCTGCTGCTGCTTTGCTGCTGCTGTGTTGCTGCTGCTCTATTGCTTCCTGCTGCTGTTGCTGCTGCTGCTGCTGCTGTGCTGCAGGATCCTTCAAGTGAGCAGCTTGCAGATTCTGAGGGTTCCACTTCGACTGCCCCTTCGCCAGCAAAGGCTCTGGAGACGGAGGATGTGCAGCAGCAGCAGCAGCAGCAGCAGGAGCAGGAGCAGCAGCCGCAGCAGCAGTTGCTGCAGGAGCAGCAGCTGCTGCAACAAGAACCTGCAGCCCCTTTGCCTGCTTGGCATGGGCTAGGCCCCAGGGTTAGTCAGCCCGATGCACATATAAACAGCTTCTCTACATGCATGCATGCATGCATGTATGCATGCGCCTTGAACACGATTGAGCTTTGGGGCTGGAAGGGGGTTTAGAGTTAGGGGGAAGAGGAGAAAGACAGCAATTTGCATGCGCCCTGTGCTTAGTCATATATTTAATATATATCTCTGTTATGTATGTGTATATATTATATATATATGTATATATGAAGCTGTTGCTTCGATTAGAACATAACCCGTATATATATATATGTATATGCTTTTAAAACAACAACTTATATGTATATATATATATATGCCTATAAATCTATATCTGTGTATCTACACCTATATATATATATATATATATATATATATATATA